TGCCTTTAGATAACGCTGGGTTCAAATCCTGGCTCCGACTCACGAGCAACATGGTTTGGGACCAATGTTGCATCTTCAGCCTCCTCACCTGTACAGTGGGAAAGGTGATAAGACCACCCAATCAGGTTGTTGGGGGAATCTAGTGAGGTCCCATGCGGTGTGTATTGTAATGTGCTTGACACTATACCTCACACAAGTCTATGATCAGGGAATGTTAGTTCTCCTGGCCACCTGCCTGTCTCTCCCTTGTTCAAGAGAACTTCTAGGCTGAGGGACGAGAGGTCTGGCTTGTGTGAACACTCAGCAGGTAAAATAGCTGGTGATTGGCCAGTTCTGCGAAGGCTGTGGGTATCCCCATCATATAAAGGGTACCAGTTTTATTTTCAGAAACTATGGAAACAGTCTGGTCAATTTCTACTGCAATCTTCAAGATAACCTTCCTGAACCATACCTAACCCTAAGCAATTTTACAGTGTAAAAAATCTTCCACGGTATCACACCGAAGAGGTCCCAGATGAGTGAATGAATACAAGATGAATGAATCCATGAATACAAACGTAAATTGTTAAATGAATGTTAAAGACCAGGGGAAGGCCATTTCCACATCATAACACCACCATTATCCTGGAATCCAGCCCTTGGATTAAATGCTCTCCAAATTTTGCACCACTCTTCCCTCCTCCTTGCTAATGTCCATATCCCCAAAGCTTCACTGCTGGTATGAGAAGCCAAGAGCAAAGGCTGGTAAAATCAGCGGGTGCCCCCACTGTGTGCCAGCAATTTTGGAGCAGATAAAGTCATTAAGGAAAATTTTAACAATGTATAACCTTTCAGCTTTACTCTGGTAACAGCAGGTAGCTTGCCTTGCAGAGACATGAGCCTGCACTGAAGTCACCAGTAAGCAGAACTTGACCTTCATTTTCAGTATACGCAGTATTAAATATTCATCACCCACAGAACTGTAGCATAAGAAGCAGCTGAGTTTAAACATGAATCAAAGGAATAAATATCTCCCCACAGGTGAGTCATCCTTTCCAAGAATGCCCCTGGAAAAAAAATGCAAATACCCAGGGCCTGGAGCCTCTGTCTCTTCCAACTTTCTCTTGAAATTCTAGAAGCAGCAGGAACTGCTGCATTATGCAATCCATGAATCCTGCCCTCACACTGACATCGTTGGGTCTTTTTTTTTTTCTTATCTGTTAGAGAAGAATTACTGTTCCTATGTCAAAGACAGAAAATAGACAGGGATGGAACCAGCAATGGTGCCATTATCACCCACAGGGTGTCTGGGGCACTTTTGACTTGGTTGTACAATTTTTTAAAAATCTTTGCTTCACAGAGTATCAGAGTGTGTGGGAGGAATGGCTTGGAATAGACATCAAGAGACATCAGAATTAGGAGCTGGAGTGGCAGATGCCTTAAATTGGGCAGAACATCTTTCAAAGGGATGAAAAAAAATGGAGTTCTTTTGGACAATGTCTGCCTCATGTGGCTAATTTAATACTTTTGAGGGACGGGATGACTGTCTTTGGAGGACTTAGTGCTCCTCTGTGTCTGCAAGGAATCGGCACTTGTGCCTATCCAAAGACTTGGTAGAACAACTCCTTCTGCTTGGGTGTTTCTAGAGAGTCTACTGCTGGGATGATGAAGCATAATTTTAACACAGTTTAATGTCCCTCTTTGGCTTTCAACTCCAGGAGCTCTGAGCACGATCTATCTGTCTTAGCTAGACAGCAATCACTTGAGGCTGCACGAGTGATTCTTCTGCGGCGATCACTCCAGGAAAACTAAGACCCAAAGAAGGGCTCCTCAAACCCTTGAATGAAAAAGAGCTGCTTGGGGACTGATCTTGGCCTAACAATGGGAAAGGAAAGATGCGTAGGAGAGGCTGTGTTTGGAAATGACTTACCCACTGCCTTGATACTAAACTCAGCTTTGAAAGGTTAAAAAGATCAGACAACCACCCTTCACGACATTTATCTGAACTGCCTTCCCCACCTGTTGCCCATTTGCACAGCCTGGACGGGCCTGCCTGACACTGAGCCAGCAGGGCAGACCCCGGAGCTTACCTCATATATTGATCTGCATTCCTCCCACTCTGCAAGGGGCTGGGTGCAGAGAGCCTCACATCTTGAGCTTGTGCTGCTGGAGTATCCCCCACCATTGTGAGGGAGGCCAGCTCTGATCAAAATTCACTGAGACAAGCCACTTCACGACAATGTCTGCCCAATTAGGCTCATGCAAGGGAAAGCCTACAGACTGATTTATTCAAAGGGCATAAATGTTAACTAAAATTCATTGGAAGAATACTAGGTGTTTTTTTCCCAGTACTGGGTGATGATATAGTATAACTTCCAAGAGAAGTCTAAAGCTCTCATTCCAAGATGCCCAAATGGCCAGCCAAACCACCAGTGTGTACAATTGATGAGAATCTTGAATGAATAGATGGATTTGGGGAATTTACATCCTGCTTTCTTACACATTTTCCATTTGCATCGTATGTGTGGACAGAACTTCATTTTCTCTTGTTTACTGTGCTTGATTACAATGTCTAACAGGTTCTTTGTTTATTCCTGGGAATCTGTGGACTTGCCATAAAGGTTACTCTACGGACTCAACCTTACTTCTTCCCCTTGCTTGATATGCACATGCTCTGCTGGTCTTTCCCCAGGAAGATGGAAGCCTCCTTGGTATTGGCTGTGCCGATCAGGTCACCTACGGTACAGAACCTTGGGAGATGGCTTTAGAACCAAAGGTAGTAATGGAAATGAGAAATGGAAGGGCCTACATAAATAAACCAAGTCTCGCTTTGCCCAACCATGTGTGGGTTTGAGGGACAAAGAAGGACTGAGCTAGGACAGTCTCCAGGGAGAGTGGAGGCAAGCTTGGTTCTAAGATTTTTGGCATTTTTGCTGAAAAAAAGTGGAGAACAGGGTCGCCTGTCCATCTATGGAATAGACTCTTTGCAAGTCCATAAAAGAAACCAGAACCAGAGAGGGCTCCCAACGCTGGATTTCCCAAGGCTTAGCAAAATCATAACTGAATCTAGGGTGCTGAGATGGTGCAGGGTTTCCAGGGAAGAGGCTCTTTTGTTTTAGAGAATTTCATTCCTCTCCATCCTCTCACATGGAACCAAGAACACCAGGATGAAAGATTGCCTCTTAATAAACACTGTAAAAAAGGACACAATTCAAATCCATCTAACAAGAGTATTTTATTTCTGAGAAATACAGAGGAGCAGAAAGGGTGGGGAAGGGAAAGAAGGTGCCGAGGCATCTCTCCTAACTGATCACCACACTCACCTTCATGTAAGGGTTTGCTCTGTCTGGGGCACACATATGCATGCCCAAACCCATTTCCTGAGCCTGCCATGGAAGCTGACAGGCTATGCATCCCCTGACATGTGAGAACACTCCTCACTCCTGAAAGGGAATGGAGAAATAAGACCAGGGCTTTAGGAGATCTTTGGTTCAATTCAAATATGGTCCAGAATTATGAAGAATAGATACTTAAAAGAGGCTTACCTTCAATGACATACCAGCTGGAATTTTCCAGACTTAAAAAGCTCTTCTCTTTCTTGGCCAGGAAGAGCTGATAGAGGGAGTGTGTGGAATCTTGTCTCCTGGAGGACTTTTAAAGGACCCTCCTCCACCTGAGACAGGTGAAGGCAGTCCAGCCTCATATGTGGCAATGGGCAGAAGGACCTCTGATACTCTCAGACTTGGCTGACGCCCAGAGACAAGTGATTAAAGGGGACATTTTCTTTATTTTCCCTGACATGGCATCTTGGCCTCAGTACCCAATTGCACATCAGCACCCAATTGCACAAAATCCTTTGGCTGGTGACCAGATGCCTCTGAGAAATTCAGAATTCAGGCATGCATGACATTGCTACCATCCTGAGCCACAGGAAGAGAGCACTAGGCTCAGAATTCAGGCACCCCAGGGTCTGCTCCAACAAGGACACAAAGCAGGTTTCCTGGAATCAAACTCTAGCAGACGGCCATACCAGGGATGGAGTTCAAAGAGTTGAAAACACTCTCACAGTAGACTATGTAGGAAAAGAGCTCAAGTCCACTGCCCAGTTTTCAAGTACATGTCGCCACAAAAAGGCGTGTCAGACCAGCTCCGCTCCAGTTTCCCAGATGCTGTCAGCCTCAAAATCGCAATAGAATAGTTGGAATAAATGAGCCCCTTCCTCCCCCACCCCCCGCCAGGGTGACACCTGCAGGAACCAGAGCAGAGCTGGCCGCCACCTAGTAGCTCTGCTCAGTGACCTCTCCTGCCTCCTATGAAGCCTTTACAACGTCGCAACACCCCACCTCAGGGTCACCCTAGAGCACCAGTTCGCTCAACTGGCACCTTAGGGGTCTGCACAAATGTCCACTCTAGGAAATCCTAGATGGCCATGGGTCTCCACCTCTGGGAGTCATCACGAACTCCTCCGTCCCATCTGTGACCTTCACAAGTGAAGAAGCACCAGCGAGCAATGCTTCTGCTGAATATTCTGCTTAGTAGCTGCAAAGGATAGAGCCGTGCTTCCTAATCTAACCTCCAATAAGGTTAAAGCATCAGAAACCCTAATGAGAAGAAGACCTTACCACCATGGCAAGAATAGTTCAGACCCTCACTGGCTGGATACTGTAGCCCTCCCAGTGGTTGGACATTCACACCAAAGCCCTCTTAACCTCTTGACATCTTCAGTGCAAATAGTTCGACGGGAAACAGCTATTTCAAAATAAATAATACCCAGCAAAAAAAAATAACACCTTCACATACCTCTCCCCCCTCTCAGGCCAGCAGAATCAAAGTAACCTTCCTTGTGAGAACTTGTTTTCCCATTCAGAAAACCAGGACAGAGTAGCCCTGCCGTCCTCTGAAAGCCTTCCACACTCAAAAGACTCTTGCAAATTTTGGTGTTAAAGTCAATAAACTGATCAATGTAGAGGCTCATGATTGTTTTTAGGAAAGAGGGCAAGACAATGTATTTGAATACTCACTTTGACGAATCTATGAAGTATATTACAAGTGCACCAATGCTGAGAGCAAAGACTAAAACAACCTGCAAAAGAAGAGGAAAATGCCATCACTTAAGAGCCGACACTGGGAAGCTTCGGGTTTTTTTTGACACAGGTGCGGCAGCAGCTGGGAAGCAGGGTTCCAACTGCTTTCTGAGGCCCGCTTGGGAATCTCAGCCCCTCGAGCTGCCACCCCCCTCCCCAGGATACCCTGATGCTGACTCCGCACCTTGCAGCGGGCAGCAACCTCACTGCTGGCCAACAGGGGTCAGGGTAGACTCTTATATCTATGGCTTTGGGTCTCATCTAGCCCTATTAGCACAGGGTCCCGCTTCTCTGCAATGAAGTCAGCACACTCCAGTGGGAAGAGTGAATAAAAATTCCGGGTGATACAATTGGTCATCTTATGTGTAATCTGGGCCCGGAAGAACTCAGATATGGGAATATCCATTTTTCGCAGCTCTGCCGAGATATAACTTACATACCATAAAATTCGCCCATCATAAGTGTACAATTCAATCAATGACTTCAAGTAAATTGACCAAGTGGTACAGCCATCACTATGATCTTCTAGTACCAGAACATTTTCATCATCCCGGTAAGAGCCCTCACGCCCATGAACAGTTAATCCCCGTTCCTACCCCCAGCCCTATACAACCCCTTATTTACTTCCTGTCCCCACACCAGAAACATCAATTTGAAAAACATAAATTTTCTGCCTGTACAAATGTGTGTACATACATTTGTGCGTGTGTGTGTATGCGTGTGTGTGTAGGTTGGTGTGTGGTTACAACACTTCTCAGTATTCTGGAAATAGTTCAAGTGCAGGAAGCCAAATTAGGTAATACATTAGGCCAGCTACACAAGAATCCTTGTTCATCTTTACACTCTTTACTCAAAATTAATCACCACTGATTTGAAAGACAGTTTGGCATCTCCTTCAAAGGATACCTGTCACACTGAAGTCCATCCAATGCACATGTAGCAGCGGAAGCCGATACCAACACTTGTGTCCCCACTCCACATCCTAGTTTATTTAGTCTTTGACAGAGGAGACCGGGAGGGCAACTTAATGGTCTCAAAAATAAAGACGTGGAGAGCCAATAATTAAGAATGAAAACAAAAGTAAACACCACGACCACACACAGTGCCAGGGCTCAACAAATACCTTCAGACATGCTAATATTCTAAAGGGTCTATAGACAGAGAGAAGCGTCAGCCTCCTCATAGTATCTACATATTGACATCACTGTGGCATTGGCTGGTGAATAGAGATGAATCTCAGTTTATGTAATGGCTGGGCATGGTCGAGCTGTGTGTGTGTGTGT